CCCACGCACGTCGTCCGAGCGAGATGGAGCGATCGCCGCTCATTCAGCCATCGCCTTGGCTCGTTTGCGACGACCCGCAGCACACTGCACGCCCGCCGCAGAGACACACTCGCGCAAAGGCAGAATTTTGCCCACGACGCCACCGCTTCTAGCTGCGGGAGCGATCTTCGAGAACTTCCCAGCGCTGGCCTGTCAGACGTCGCCCGAGCGTGCGCAGACTTCGTTACTTGCAACCTTAACCGCCCTGCGATGACATGTCTCGCCTCGTCATTGGCCGCTGCTGCGCATCTCGTCAAGCGGCGTTGGCCTTCGTCGGTACTTTGCTCTGTGTAACGATGACTCTGTCTGCACCACCTCCATCGCGCCCGTCCCCAGCCAGCCGCAATGCACGAGACTCTGTTGGGAACGCATGCAGGCGAGCGAGCAGCAGGACTGCGCAGTGTGTGCCCGCGCGCGTCAATCTGTCACGACACTCCGCGCCCATCATCGAGCGTGCAAGCATCGACGTAGCAGCGCTGGATACGCTGCAGCTGGGAGTGGGTAGCCTCGCTATTCTGAGATTGCCCTATCCCAGTCCCGGAGTGTACAATACTGTGGATGATGCTCGGTGGAAATGTGATTCGGCAGCGGCAGGGAACTAGCACTCTCGTCTCGTTAATTGCACGTCACGTGCACTGCGGAGCTATTATCGTGGACTCGTGAAACTCGCAGCGCCGTTGGATGGCGTCGTGTTGGAGGATTTCGTCCAGTATTGGATCGCTGCGCCATAGCAATAGTCGGAGAATCCTCATCTCTAGTCTCGCTTGATGGAGCACAACGTTGCCTTGCCACGCCGTGTGCAACCGAGCGTCTGTCCCTCAAACCGCCCGGCACTGTGAACACTTGTTCCTTCTGCATGTTTCATCCGGATCACATCACGTGAGACGGGTCCATCGCCCGGCTGCGTGAGATCGGCGGATACGACTCAGACTACAGCCAGAAACATGCCTGGTTGCTGTGCCACCATCTTCATGTCCGGTTGATGCTGGTACAGCGGCAAGCAAGAGCTCTCTCTGCAGCACTTTGCCTTCATCGCCTCGGATTCGCTGGAGCTTACCAGGACCACGTCACAGAATTCCCGCTCTGCATCTCGCAGGACCGAATCGAAGTCTAGGCCTCGTGGCCTAGCGCATCTCTGTGGCTTGGAGAGTGTGGTCCGTACACGATGCTGTGCAGTAGCGACCTCTCTAGCTCCATTGCCCAGAAAAGCTTACACGAAGTTTCTGCACGGTCTCATGTCGTGCTATGCCCAAACGAGGCATTTCGCCCTTGAGACCCGTGTACTTTTCACTCCACCCTAGCAACATCGCAATTCGTGAATGGCGTTCTAGCCTCCCTAGGCCATCAATCTGCGAGAAAAGCTATCCAACGCCGGGGAAGTTATGCAAGCATGCGTCCGCTAGGTTCCGCGCTCACACCTCCTGCGGCATCGACCAAGACCAAGTTTTGTGATCCGCCACACGCCAGCCGCACCACACAGCGCGCAGCAAAGTGAGTGCAGATCTTGCCACTGGTTGACTAGTGGCACAGCTCAGCGTAGGCCGTCAGCACTCTGGCTGCTCTCGTACCTGTCCAGCGCCTACGGTACCGCAGATCAATATCAGCAGAGTTTTGTTGGATCGCTGCAAATTTTGTAGACTGTACGTCAATCAATCTCACTTCCTCACGAGCACTAGCGACGAGCATCGCTGCGCGTTGAACCCTTGCCTTGCTCGATCGGATGGTAGAACTTCGTGACATCCAATCTGACTGTACGTGTGTGAAGAGCATCCGATGTCATTCGTTTCGTCCTGGTACCCTGAGGCTTGCGCAGCATGTCTCACCAAAGTCGATCGATGCGAACAACAGTAGCAGGTGATGCTGGAACGACACCATCTCCCAGGAAAGAGCTCACACCATCGCGATGCTTTTTCTTTTCTCCTTTGCTCAAGCAGAGAAAAGACCGCATCTCGGCTCACGCCCACGGTCTCGCTGCAACGATCCAGTACCGTACCTTCGTGTAGCCTGTCCGGCTGCATCACGGTGTTCATCGACTACGTGTTCCTCGCGCAGCTTAGTCTCACCACTTGTCCCGGCCGCATGCATAATCTTCTCAATGTCAATCGAACATTTACTAGTGTCGCTCGCTTCAGTGCATGATCCTCGAAAGCGATATTCTGCAATCCACTTCGACTGTCATTTCCTCGCCTGCAGGCACTTGTCAGCAATGATCGGAATCGAACAGTCGTGCATCAGCCTGTAAGAGTGGCAGCCATGAAACGGACGTGAGAAAGTTTCAAGCGCACATGGTGGCGTGCCGAAAGCTGTAGTGGAGCGTTGGTGAAGGCGCAGCCACACACGGCGCGCGTAAGCTGGAGCTCCTGTCTGCATAGGAACTGTCTCGTGATTTTGCCAAGATCTCGTATGTGTCGGTGCCGACGCTCCCTAGGCAGAGAGATGCTGCGTCGGAGAGGCGCCAACCACGAAGGGGCCGCTCCTCTCATCAGCGTTGGTGTATGGACGAAGAAGGCTGTGACAGTTGTCAATTGGTGGCTGTGGCCTGTTACTACCGTTGGTGTTTCTATGCAGCCTTCTGTCGATGCCAGGCATGCTAGGCCTCTTCCTTGTTGATGTTTGGAATCACCAACACATTATGCTGTGCTCGACCTTCTGAGGGACCTGCTCGCAGTCTGTGGGTGCAGGTGCGAGAGCACTCAGCCACCAATCTTGGCTCAAAAAGGATCTTGTTGAAGACCAAGTTGGTCTTCATGACTGACGCAAGCATCCCAGGTGCACGTGGCTCACACGTGCCGACACTTTTCTTGGTGATTTTGATCGATATGTGCAACTGGACATGTTCGCCGACGTGGCACGCCTATACACAGCAACTTCGGATTCCTGTGGATGCATCGGATCGCAATGATCGTAACCCGATCGATGGGATGGGATGCTCTTTCGCTATCCTTAGCCAGAGCACAAGTCTGGATTTCATCGTTAGTCATGCGGCGTACGAACAGCGACCGAGGGCAAACGATCCGAAGACGCCGAAAAGCCAGCCACACAGCGCCTCGTCAAGAATAGTCGATGAAATGTGTACATCTGTCCAAGCCAGCTTGCCTGCCATTCGCCACAGCTGTGCCGTTCCTGCTCATCTGCGTGAATGGCGAAGCCCAGCGGAATCATGCGTTACCCGCGTAAGCAAATGGCTGGCCACTTCAGGTTAAACTGTACCAGCATGCATTTGGGTGAACGCAGCGAGATGGAGGTTGCTCCGCCGTCCGCCTTGAGTCCAGATTTTTGCTCAATTTCAGCCATTGGTACGATTCATGGTCTCAACAGCAGCTGCAGTAGCAGGTGCAGGCAAAGCTATTCGATAGTCCTCGTTCGAGGCCTCCTCAGGCCTACTCTTGTGTCCTCCCGCACTTTCAGCCACGAAAGGAGCGCCAGGCCTCGCGTTATTCGTGGCGGCGCAGCCGAATCTTGACAAAGGACGGATGTGATGAAGCTCGATCGTCCGGCCAAACAGCGTTTGTTGGCGCGTATGGCATTCACTTCCACTGCAGTAGCGCTTGCAACAAAGCTCAGGTCTCTTGACAGTTGAATTCCCGAAGCTACAGTATCTTGGCATGCCGTCGACGCAGTCCAGCCGAAGGACCTTGGGCGCTCCTAACGGCGCCCTGGTCGGCCTTCGAGGCTTCTGCGCCCACTCTAGCCTTGTCTGACAGCTGTTCGGATATTTCTGCAAGTTGAGCCTAACGCCGATGTTGACTGAACAGTTGCGGGACGTGACGCTTGGTGTCGTGCACCGAATGCGACCACTGCACAATTCAAATCCGCAACCGTCAGGAGATTCTCAATATTGCGAGAACAGATGTCGCGTAAGCCGTCCCAGCAGGAGTTGAGGAGGCCGGTCGTGCAACGACCGCAAACTTCCGCTCCACAGTCGGCAGCAACCTTCTTTCAGGAATAGAGGAGTAAGATCGTGGCCCGATGAAGAAACGAAGTTCATCCACGATCTAAGCAATCTCGCATCCCTCGTGAAAGCGCTCTCGGGCCATATGAACCTGGTGGACTGTAGGGCATCGGTCGCGTCAAGGTCTGAGATCAAGCTTCGGTGTAGAGTTGACAACGAAGGGTGTCCCCAGCTTGGCCCATGTATTTTGACGTGTTGGTGTCTGGAGTGTTGAGACAGCACAGGGAGCAGCACGCTTTCGACGCATGCCAACAGGCACTACGGAGCCGGTGGTCAGAGATTCAGAGGATTGGCCCGGCGTAGCTAAGACCTCGATCAAACATGCTTCATCGCCAAAGCATTTCCTTGTGGCTGCGAGTGCCATTCGCTGGTAGGCCTGTCGCAACGTCGTCGCTCACACAGTCGATCGCGCCATCAAGTCCAGCATGCCGCAGAGTAGCAGGCCTGGCCAGCTCGGCCGGAGTTCAGGCACTGCTGGCATGCAATTGCACTCAGCGATGCACCCTCGAGGCCTACTCTTCGGGAAGAGCTAATAGCACCGAGGCCGTGACACGACGGGGCCGGTCTTCGAGGCAGGCTGCTTTGTGATCGCGTAAGACTGGTGGCGGGAAGAAGGCAATGCCAGTAGCAGAGAAGATCGCTCTGAACCTGTTGCCTCCGGCCATGCTGAGGAGTCTGATGAAGGCAGGTGTGCTAAAAGTGAAGTTGCAGCCAAGAGCGAGCTCAGTGTCGTCCCGATCCATGGTGTTGCGTGAGCCATATCATTTTGGTGACAGGTCAGGAGTTGTTAGCCTGTCGCCCTGTCATGAGTCCGTTGGAAACGACGGCGGCTTTGCAAGTCCAGCGCACAGTATATCAGAAGCTCCCTCTGGCTCCAATCGACGAAGTGCGTTGGATGCTCGCGCAAGGCAGGCAAGCGGGAGGTTAGACGCGTCGTCTGTCTGTCAGTAAAAGAAGGCACGCGGCGCGCGCCGATCCCGAATCGCTTTTGAGCACGGCAAGATCTGCCCACCTCAGTCCAGTCTTGCACGCCTGCTACTCGTTGATCTCTGGTTGCATCTACACTCGCGCCCGACGGACGATAGCGTTCTCGAAGTCGTCCCTACGCCAGCCGATAAGTAGGCATCGATCAGCGTCTACTAAAGCGGTCTTCAAAAGGAAGAAAATCACCGCAGAGCACCAGTCTTTCACAAGCTCTCTTTCCATCTCACAGAGGGATGGTTCAATACTCCCGTTACCGCATTGAGGCCCTGAAGACAGTAACTCGTGAACATGTCACTGGTGATGCCAGAGTCCAGGTGCAGTAGATGGATCGACACAGGAGCAAAGCTGTCGGTGGCGAAGTGGCATAGCGCGAGTGCTCGGTGCCGTTGCCCACATCCTTGAGGTCAGTCCCTCTCAAACACACCAACAATTTTCATCATGAGTCTCTTGGGTGTACGCTCCGACAAGATGAGCAAGCAGCCCGCGCAGCGGTTAGACAACAATCTCGGTCAGTAGACTTCGACAATCAACACGCAACGCTCTGACACGCCCAGAGATGTACCTACAGGAAACGTGAGACGACCTCTTTCCAATCTAGAAACGTTCCCGCGCTGGCTCCTCGTCTTCTTCACAGCATGGACGCTCATTAGTCTGCTCGCCTGGTTCGTGCTCGAGCGGTACCATGGCCGCTCCTTCATGCCTTCTGAGATGTCTCTGCCACAGATGTTCATTGTGTACGGTGCTGCAAGCGCAGGTGCGAACGGCAGTTGGAAACTAGTCCGCCAATGGCGTGGATACTACTGAGAGCGACAACAGCCAGCAAGCGTCCACCAGAGGTCGCACTGGACTGTACGAATCGGAGGCATGCACGATGTTGCGGTTTCGTAATGGGCGAGGTTCCAGCTGGTTTGAAGGAGCGGCAGATAGGTCATGGTCAGAAGTGCCATGCTTTGTGCTGTAAATGGTCTTTATAAACATTTGGCTGCGTTTTTCCACAATCGAGGACAATTGGCTGATACTCCAGAGTTCGATCGATCTTCGCATTGTGAAAGTACTCGGCTACTAGACTGAGTTCAACCAAAGTCCTTGAAGATTGTTGTGTAGCTCTGCCATCTTCGTCACCGTAATCTTCTGATGAGTAGTTATTCGATGACGACGAAGTTGAGTGGGTGAATCGAACGCGTCTCCAGACGCGTCTGGGAGACCCTGTATTCACCGAATGCCCCACCTCGGAGGTGGCCGATACTTTCAGATGACAGAAAAATGTTAGCTTCCATGTTGACACAACTCATACATTCTTCTCTCTTGGTGGTAAAAGTTGCCGGCCGTCCTCGCTGTCTTTACCATCGGATAGAAAGCCACAGATAGAACCCATCGCAGCCGCCAAAATGGTCGAGAAGGTGTGGATCACATACAATCAGGTAAGTGGATACCCACATGGAGGACACACGACTCGCAGGTCGTGCATACGCGCACACGTCGAGAGACGGGATTTGACATGGCAAACCATTGACAGCAGCGACGCAGGTGCACAAGCTGTGCCAAGATGCAGCTCCGCGCATCCTCAACGACTTCCAGCCGAATCTCATGATCGCCATTGGTGGTGGTGGCTATGTGCCCGCACGCATGCTCCGCTCCTTCCTCAAGCAAACCGGCGCCGCGAATATCCCCATTCAAGCCATTGGCTTGTCGCTGTACGAGCAGCTCGGTACGGACAGCCAGGTCGAGAAGCCAGGTACCAAAGTGACGCGGACACAATGGCTCGACTTGACGAGTCTCGAGATGGGCAACCTGATTGGCAAGAACGTGCTCATTGTGGATGAGGTCGACGACACACGTACAACACTCGAGTATGCTGTCAAAGAGCTACAGAAGGATGTCGATGCCGCTGCGAAGCAGGCGGGCAGAGAGGGAGAGACCACCAAGTTCTCCATCTTTGTTCTGCACAACAAGGACAAGGTGAAGAAGGGTACGCTGCCCGGGGAGATGATCGCCAACAACAGATACTTGGCGGCGAGGACGGTCCCAGACGTGTGGATCTGCTATCCTTGGGAGGCTACGTATGCTCTCTTTTCTCTCGACACTGAACAGAGGCTTGACTGACTTTGTGGACAGGGACATTGACGAGCACGACCGCATGGCCCAGCAGCAGACCATCCAGTGATGGTGTGATACGACACGGACGAATTGACGCAACCCCAAAATTAGATGGAGCGACTTATGATACACCATACACTACGGACAGGCGATACAATGGGGTCAGTGGCTTCAGAAAATGCTTGCCAGAGCCATGCCACTCACTCACTCACTCAAAGCGATCGAAGAAGGAGCATAGTGGACCACGCCAAGGCCGCCTTGGATATCACAAAGACACCGTTCGATACACAATGCCTTTGTGCACCAGAAACGCTCTCGCGGAGGAGACACCTCTTGGACATGAACCCTCTACGCTTCTGATAGAACCTTACTTTCGCCGAAAACGCTATGAAATGGTCTCAGCGACCCACATATGCAGAGTGCCTCATTCCGCGCTACAAAGACTATGTCACGTACATCACATTGTCGTCGTAGCAGAGCACGATTCTTGATCTGGTCTGAAGACGATGGCCATTGACATGGCTCCCCACAAAGGAACTGCTACTGTCCTCCTTTGTTCTCAATTGCACTATAGCATAATCGCTCTGTCCTCATCACGCGCATATTCACATTGTTGGTCGGTACAGGTCATATTTGTTCACTCTCGCAGCACTTCACTGTCTTTTTAGGTCCACTGGCTTATTAGCAAGCACTACAAATCTTCTCAAGTACACTCCTACCAAAGCATCACAAATCACCAAACAAGCAACACTCGAACATGTCACGAAACCACTACCGCGACGAGTTCTCGCAGGCCGAGAGCTCAATCGAAACACTGACCGCATCTATCTCGCTCCATGACACGAGGATCGAGCACCGACGTTCGCGACGAGATCGTCAGCGGCGCGAGCATGAGAGAGATCAAGAGCTCATGCAGCTTCTCCAGGAGAAAGCCGCAATCGAGGACCTACTGGATAGAGCAAGGGACAGAGCAGCCAGAGCTATGAGAGAGATTCATGCGGAGGAGGCGAGGGAGCGTTCTGGGAGGAGGATGAGCTTCGACATGACAGAAACCACCTTCGTTGTCAACGACAACATCTTCCCAACGACTCGAGACTTCGAGACTGGAGGTAATTCATACTCTTACCTGCGTCCTATCTATGAGGAGCGACGTCCCGCATATGAACGTTCGCGTCCGCGTTACGAAGAACGCCGACCAGACTACGCTCGCGATACCTTGCCGACTCGTTCGCCGTATGACGAGCCTGCCCCTCGCTCTCATCGATCGCGGCACGGCGACTATAATGGACCCGACGATTATCCTCCATTCCCGCCCCAAAACTCCCGACGTGAGGAAGCTCGATCTAGCTCTCATCGTTCACGTCAACAAGAGTCGCGACCTGAGCCATCCCGTGATGCACGCCAGGGTGAGCCTCAATCTCGTTCTCAGCGCTCGCGTTACGGCGATCACCTCCGACCGGACGACATCCCGCGCGGTGAAGAACATCGTTCTAGCTCTCATCGTTCGCGTCAAGAAGAATCTCGTTCCAGCCATCACGAGTCCCGGTCTGGTTCACACCGCTCACGCCACGACGACGACCGTCAATCTAGGTCTGACCACTCACGCCGAGAAGAGTCGAGATCCCATCGCTCACGCAAAGAAGACTCTCGACCAAACGCTTCTCAACCAAAAGACGGAGCACCTCGAACCTCAACCCACCACAAAACCTCTTCTTCGTCCCACCGCAACGACAAACCGTCCTCATCCTCCAGGTCTCACACCAAACAACAAACCTCATCCAGAACCGCCCGACAACCCACCCAATACGCCACAGGCCTCGACATCCTAAACTGGTACGCCTCACTCACGACCGCTCTCTCCTCAGACTCTATCCCGAAACTCACCAAATTCCCCTACCCACCTGTCACGCCTTGCACGACCGCAGACTGCACTTCCTCCTTCGCACTCGATCGTATGAATCCTGCTTGCGACTGCTCCATCAAGGACACTTTCCGCACACTAAAGGTCGACCCGAGCAAGGAGAAGCGCCGTTTCCATCCGGACAAGTTCTCGGCGGTGCAGGATAGTAAGAAGCGAGAGGAGATGCAGAACGCAGCGAGAGAGGTGTTTGTGGTGTTGGGCGGGATGAGCAAATAGGAGAGATGACAAGACTGATTGATTGAGGGATGACGCTGAAGAGAAGCATGCGAAATATGCGCACACATTCGTTTGGGGCTGGAACTTCGAGACTGAAAATTGCATGGTAGCCTTCGGGCGCTTGTTTCGCATGCATTGCTTTGCTTGCATAATGTAGAACTATCGCTGATGCGCTTGCTTGGACGAATACGAAATACTGTTACTGCTGATTCCAATTCTCAAACTGTTTCCCAACCATGTCTCCTATCATCGGTGCTTGTCAAACCAACTTCCAGTTTTGAACATGAGCTTTTGCTTAATCCGTAAGACTCCTCATCTGTCAGCATCTCACGTTCTTGTACTGGTGACGCATCGCTCAATCCCCATCGTCCGTCTTACCAGACTCTGACGCAGGCAGTCTGTCGCGGAGCCAGCGAAGCGTGGCCTCCGTGCCTTTATCCAAGAGGCGGTAATTGGGCACGCGAAAGGCATTGCTGCTGACATCGAAATTCCTTAGTCCCTCGTCCCAAAGCAGACCAATCTCTGCAGGAAGCGATTCAATGTCATTGGAAGCCAGGTTGACAGTCGTCAGACCTCGCAGCGCATCGGCACTGATAGACCGGATCTTGTTTCCGGTCGCGAACAATGTTGTCAACTGCGGGAACACAGTGCGAAGGGCCGGCAGATCGCCAGTCAATCTGTTGGCGCCCACATTCAAAGTCTTCAGGTTTGGTGCTTGGAGAAACGTCATGAGCAGGTCTAGTGATGTGATGCGGCATTTGCTGAGGTTGAGCTCTTGCAGAGTGGGTAGAGCGATCTCGTCCGTCAGATATTCTGTCGCGAGAGGATTGCCGGACAGATCGAGTACCTTCAGATCCTTGACCAGCGACAACACGGGTGGAATGACAGTAACTCCGCTGTCTTGCAGTTCTAGTTGTCGTACAGTGTTGTTGCTTAGGAAGGCGCTGAGATCTTCGTCCAAGTCTTCTGCTAAATCTTTGCCGGACAAGCTCAGAAGCCCGTTTCCTTTCACTGACCACTGTGAGCCGCCAGCTTCGGCACCAACGACTGTGATGGGGCTAGACGGCTCACCATCATCTGTTCCAGTTTCATCCGGAGCCAAACGAGCTCGAAGATCCCGCTTGATGTCTGCAGCGTTCATGGTCAGGAATTTCCTCTCGCGCAATGGGTTCGCTGCCAGAACTAGCGACTCCAAGCTCTCCATTCGGCATATTTCTGGATCAAGCATGCGAATCTCGTTACTGGTGAAATTGGCAGTCCGAAGCTTCGCCAGACTTGTGAAGCCCTCAGGAAAGTCGACAATCTTGTTGTCACCAGCGTGCAAAGTGATTAAGTCATGCCAGCCAGCTACAGAAGGGAGTTGCGTCATCTGGTTATTCGTGATATGCAGTGTCCTCAGTCTAGGCATATCGAGCGTCTCGGAAAACGTCAACGCGGCCAGCGAGTTGTTTGATATGTTCAAGCTCTGGAGCGTCGGATGGCGACCTGGAGCACCTAGCGGAAACAGTGATGCTATCAACGCGTTGCTGCTGGCGTCCAGTTCTACGAGAGGTAGTTGGGCAAGAGCGTCCATGGGCAGTGCCGTCAATTGATTCCCGGAAACATTCAGCACTCGAAGTGCAGTCAGGTCTGCAATAGCTTCAGGCAAGCTAAGAAGACGATTCGCCTGTATGTCCAAGACTTCCAGCTTGGTCAAAGTGCACAACGACCCTGGGAGATTGCCTGTCAGGTTGTTGTTACCAATCTTCAGCTCCTTCAGCGTTGGAATTTGTGTGATGACATCCAGAGCAGAGTTCTCCAGCTTGTTGTGAGTGATGTTGAGATGTGTCAAACGTTCCAGACGTCGCAGACCCATCGGCAGTGCTTGCAGTGAATTGCCATGCAAGTCCAGGAGCTCGAGTCCACCAAACTGGTTGCCCGTGGCATCGTCGTCAGCAGCAAGGTCCTCATTTGATCGATCCGGGAAGACCGTTTCATCAATTCGCTCAAATTCGTTGTCTGCAGCGATGAACTTTGTCAAGTCGACCACTTCGGCCCAGTTGACTTTGCTCTCAGCCATCGCAGCTGCGTCGTACATTTTCATGACTTCTTCGGGCATTTCCTTCAACCCCATAGCAGCAATATTGAGCTTCCCACTCATGCGTGCATTATGTACGCGATATTTCAGCACATGCTTTTCATCCTTGGGGGCTTGACCAAACGGGTCGGCGTGAGTCTCAAAATCGACTCCGGAGTCGCCATTCGTGGAAAGAGGCTGAGAAGACGACGACTCTCGCTTCTCCGCAGACTCTCTTTGCTTTCGCGCTGCCGCTTTTGCCGCTGCAATTTGCTCTCGCAAGGCAGCCGATGAATTCGACACGACCCGTGCGCTATCAGCAGGTTTGGCATCTTCTGCGTCTGCTGTAGCTACTGCTTTAGGTGGCGGCGCCCGCTTGGTTGGCGGCACAAAGGCACCAGTAAGCCCACTTCGTGGTTTCGTAGGACGTGACGTTGCTATCGTTTTATTTCCGCTGCCGATTTTTGAAGTCGTTGCACTCGGAATGCCCATTGCAGAGCCATTTGGTAATGCGGAAGGCTTCTTGACAGGCGAAATACTTCTCTGGGATTCTGCTTTCGCCTGCTGTAGCTTGCTAGTCAAACCGACACTGACGCTGCGTTTCGTAGAAGGCAGAGAGCTAATCCTCGATCCTGGCGCAGTGGTAGTGCGAGTAGATGGTCTGGCACTAGCAGGTGCGATCTTCGTGGAGCCGGCTCTACTAAGCGGTCTCGATGAAGTTGATCCATCACTAGTTCCTGGTCTACTTCCCGCTCTGCTATTCCTACTCATCGCGGAGGCTGGCCGTAGAGGTGGGCCCATGGGGCTGTCTGGTGGGTTGAAGAAACTCGATCGCCGTCTGTCATTTGGTGTCGATGGCATGGACTGTAGTGTCTCTATCGTCCTCTCCGACAGCGAAGGACGCGAAGTTCTACTTCGAGGGACATGGTCCTCGGCCAGCTCGAACGACTCGGATTCATCACTGAAGCCTTGGCGTGAAGCGGACCTAAAGCTGTCAAGAGAGCCAAGTTTATCACTGACCTCCTCGTCGTCAATAACGGCAGTGGAGCGGGAAGCACTAAGAGCACGCTTTTGCAGACCAGTCCTTGCTCGAGGGGGCGCGAGACCTGATGTAGTGGAAGTCTTGGCAGTAGTGGGAGTGGGCTTTGCGAGGCCAGTGCGAACAACTCCTCCTGGCTTTTGTAGTCCGCTGCTGGGAGGCTTCAGAGCAGAAGTGGGAGTCGGTCGTGCCAAGCCGGTAGTCGCTGTTCGTTTTGTGGCTTTGGGAGTAGCGAGTGCCGGTGATGGCTTTGTCAGAGTGCTGGGCGGAGCAATGGTCTTCTGGGAAGGCGGCAGCAGTCCTGATGATGGCGCGGTGATAGTCGACGCAGGCCGGGATTTGACGGCGGGCAGTCTGGTTGTTGGCAACTTGGAGGGGCCTCGCGGGATGCCGGTAGACGGCTTGGTGGTGTCCGGATCCATGCTCGGTCGTGCAGCAATATAATAAGCAAGATGGCGGGCGGGCACGAGTGGACGTTGGCAGTCGAGCTCGAACTACTCGATCACCGCCAGCATGGTGCAGCTGGAGAGTCGGCCACTCCTTTTCCAATGCTGATGGTATGCCCCTCGTTGCGCCCCCGGGCTAGTCCCAATCGATGCGGAGGGCAACAGTGGTCGGTGTCGGCAGAATAAGGGGTTCAAGCGGTGGCTGCGTTGCTGAAGTGTTGTGCACTAAAGTGCCGGTCCGGTCACCCAGGGAACTATCATCGACTTTCGCATCAGCACGTCTCCAGCCACGCGGGCCCTTCATTGTTGACCGTGTCGCATTACAACCGCATTGTCTGTCGCAGCCGCATGCTCCACGCCCGTTGAAACCTCCGCTGGTGTCGCACAACCCGAGCGTCGCCTCCGCCCCAGCTTGCTTCCCATCGCGGGGCTCATCATTCCGCAACGCACCATCGCACCGCAACGAAGAGCAATCGCGACTGAATTCCATACCCGCGAACCTGATCGCACGCCCACCATGCCGTCGCAGCAGAGCGCCGACAGCGCGACTTTGACTCCGCCGCCCTCGACACAGGTCCCGCCGTCGCAGCGTGCCAAAACCAGAACTCCAACACCGCCGGTCTCACATATCTCAACTCCGCCGCCCACAGGAGAGACATCAAATGCAAGCCACACGGGTCGCATCGGAGGCTTCGCTACGACTATGAGTTCCGAAGAGCTGGAAGCAGCGACGCCGGAGGAACTGAAGGGGAAGGTGGTGGAGCTGCAAGTCGCACTCCAGGAGGCAAAGATGTCAGCAGCGCACCACAAGCTACAATACCAGATGCTGGCTCAGTCAAGCGCAGCTGCCCTCGAGCGCATGTCGGTGGAAGCGCGCATGGCGCAATCAGAGAACGAGGTGATTCATTCCGCCGACCAGGCACGGATCGCTGCAACGCCCACCGCCGAAGAGGGCATCATCCCCATCCAAAAGGACCTCTACCAAGACATGTGTCGCCAGATCCAGCTGCTACGGGACGCCAATCTCAATTTGGAAGGCGAGACACATCAACAGCAGAAAATCATTCTTCAACAAGAGCATGAAATCGCCAGCTTGTCTGACAAGGTGTCTTTGATGGCAGAGCGCATTCGAGCCAACCGAGAGTCTTTGCAAAAGTACCGCAAGCCACAACTGTTGTCGCGCCCAGATCAAACTCCACGCTCGGTCTATGCCACTCCACAGAGGGGCCACTTGCACCGCGCTCACCAGCAGTCACAACCATTTGCCGCGCTGCTGCAAGCTTCGGAGATGGCGAGCCAAGAGTCTGCACGAGCTGGCAGGAAGTCGCACCACCGCAACGCTCAGAGCATGTCGAGTTTGCCAAACACTCCTCAGCGTAATCAAGGCATGCGCGGTCAGCCTCCATTTCAGACGCCTCAAGCTCAACGTCAAGCATTACATGTTCCGGCGACAGCACCTCAACAGAGGACGAGTGCTCTACGTACACCTGATATATACAGCCAGCCTTCATTACCAGTGTCGCAAGATGGTCCACCTTCTGACGGAACTGTCTCTGCTTCTGAAGATGGGGCGAATGACAGCGAGGCTGAGACTGATATCATCGAGAACGACGAAGTTCCCGAATCGCACGCTTCAATGACTGCTTCGCAAATGCTGCGGACTAGTCGAGAACAATTGGACGAGAAGCGTGAGAGCTTCAAAGGGCGAGGAATGCTAGATTCAGGCAGCAATCTGAGGCAGACGAAGCTCTTCGGCGCGATTCGGAAGTCGAACGTTGAACGAAGTGAGGACGGTCCTCCAGCGAAACGGGCACGAACCTCACCTGGCATCGGTCTTGGCATTTCTCACTCGCGCAATTAGAAGTCCTGCGCTGGTAAGATTGACAGTAATGAGGAACTGGAAGATGGTTTAATTGAAGATGCTGGTCCGCCGACAAGTTCTCTGGCTCTTTAACATGATAGTATTGGAGCAACACTCAAAAGCGCAAAATGGTAGGTGGAGGATTGATTCGAGTGAATGAATAGGATATACCCAAAACGGAAGCCGCGAATGGCCTTGGTGCACGATAACTTCACTTTCACGTTCATTTTTTCAACGCAGGTGGGTCCCCGGAGCCGGGTATTATTGTCGATCTCCTCAAACCTCACTTCCCATTGTGGGTTAAAATTGGCTCAAGCCCCCGCCCTGTTTCTTTCCCTCCTTCCTCACAGTATAACCAGCATACAGGCAAGAGAATGGCTGGCGAGATGGTGAAAAAGCGCAAGGCTTGCGACAGCTTCGAGCAGCAGGCTGTTACAAGACAGCTCAAGGTTAGCACCCTCTCATGTCGTTGACTGCAACCTCACTGACATCTCCAGGGCTCATGTCGCTTTCCTGACAGCAACAAGAACAATGGCAGCGCAGGGAGCTCACTCGCCTATCGTGATCAAGGCTCTGCTGTTGGCAGTCAGCACTCATTGACGGACAGCACTGAGCATCGTACGAGCAAAGATATGCGCAGTGGGAAGAGCTCTGCCAGTGCCGTCACTGACTTCAATGCTTTGTCATGGGGCAGTCTCACCTGCAAGCACCCACCACAAGATGCCTTCAACTTCGGGGATTGGCAGCATCCCGCCACCGAAAAGCAGACCACGACGTCTGCTCATTCAATGATAACGCGTGGCACCACGAAGCTTATGACGACAAACGCCCTCTTGAACACGGGTGAGCTTCTTGAGAGGATCATCAGTCATTTACCACCAGAGTCCCTCGTTACTCTTCGCCGGGTGAACAAGACCTGGAACCACATCATCCTCACCCTTCCAGTCACGCGTCGTGCACTGTTTCTGGAGGCCGAGCCCCTCAGCCACGAATTTTGGGTCTACGACCGGAGCAGCCGAGTTCTCCAACCATACGAGCCATCTATGCTGGATGTGTATGGCACCGCTTGGCGCGACCGCCAGTCCTATTGCCGTCCGACTTCGCTCAACCCGCTGCTCTTCATGCGGGACAAAGATCCAAAGACTGGGGAGGAGAAGATCGCTCCACTCCACGAGCGCGCCAAAATCTGCGAAAGCTTGCGCTTCGTTGGTCGCCCAAACTTGAACATGCCACTGGGCTCATCATTGCACCACGATATGTTCTTGACCCAGCCACCGGTCAGCACGGTCGAGTTTGTATTTCATTACCAGGACCGCAACTTGCGCCGTCAACGCATCTACGCGCCTCTGCAAGTGAAGCGCATTCGCGTCCGCCAACCTGGTGGTGTGCGTTTCAAGGACCTCTTACAAGCATTCGTCGATGCAGCGACCTTGGGCTTACGTCCTACAGCATACGGCCCTCCTGACTTTGCTGTGCGAGTGAAGGGAAGTCCGGTGACGAAAAAGATAGCCGCAGTGTGGATGCTGGGAGCCATCTTCGTGAGTGAAGAGGAAGAGAAGCAGATAGAGGCGATGAGAGAGATCTGGGTGGCCCGCGACCAGGAGAATGGAGTGTCGGTCGGAGAGCTGCCGCCTTCTCCACAGGCAAAACAACAAATGAAGGCTAACAATGGGCGCATGATCGACTTCCGGCCTACTTCTGATGACTTTGTCGACAAGCCGCGCAAGGTGCGTGGAGAGCAGGGCCAATGCTACGGTGGCTTGCCTCGAGGACAGCTCTTTGGGCTGAAGTGATGGGAACTGCTTGACAGCTTGCCTTGGCGGCTTATTGTTCCTTGCAGCAACACATGGAATTGTACGAGACGGGGCGCGAAACATTCTTGGAAGAACACTGATGACTGACGAAAGCGATGCTGATGGTGCCTTGATGGCTACCGGCACGCTACGCTCTACTGATGGCGACATGACTGAACGACTCTTGGACGACAACAATGATGACGATTGCAGTGACGGACATGGTGTGTACATTAGCATGATAGTCTGGTGATAGCTCAACAACAATGATGACTTGGACCTTGACGCTTTGCCTGTTGTGCGCCGTCTCACTTCGCGTGCTCATTGTAGTACCCGCTCACGAGCGAGACATGTATTGTCACGCTCAACTGTCGCGTGGATGGGGTGTGGTGGAGCGAGTCGGAAAGGACCATGTGCTACTTTTGTGTAGCCTTATGTCCCGACTTCTCCTCTTACCTGGACAGAATGTTCTCTCGAGACATGTGCTTTGGGGCACCAGCTCGCTCTTCGTGTATCGCATCGTGGGCAGAATAGGCCACTGACTGGTTTCCAGACGAGGTCGCGACGGGCTCGGCATCCTCGTTGACCAGGAATATCTCAGCGCATCTGTCTCCTCCACGACATATGCGGGGAAATGTCAGGTCCCGCGATGGAGGAGGAAGAGGACGCATTAATGCATGTGAATCAATACATCACGCGTCGACGTTGCATTTGAAGAGGAGAGCTTGCGGAATCTGCAAACCTCCGGCCGTCGACACTCCACCCCCGCCCGCAGCAGCAGCACATCAGCACAATCCTGGAGGAGGGGCCGTGCTGGCCGAGATTAACTTGCCGCTCAATTGCCTGTTCCTGACGCGTTAACTAGTTACACCTCTCCCAATCTGCCAACGCCCTCTCGTGCGCCTCCCACTTCCGCCAACCGCACAGCCGATCACCCACTTCATGACCTCACGGCCAGCAGCGACCTCTCCGCGCAGGTCATGAGGATCGTCTGCGCTATGCAGTGACTTGCAGCAGTCCCTCACGAAGTGTGCAGACAATTGCAAAACGCGATGCTGTGCCTCCAATAGCATGCAGCCGTTTGGACTTTCCTGGAGACGGTACAGGCATCATGGCGACTGTCATGACACAGGTCTCGATGCACATGGGACTGAGGTTGAGACGGCATGTAAGTCTACCGCTCTACCACCTTCCTTCTTCTCTCGCAAGCTTTCACTTCATATACCCTTCGCCTGCTCTCAACTCTCTCTGAGAGCAGCATCCTTGCGCTCAGCTCTTCATCCTCCTCTTCTTCTCTATTCTTTGTTCCCCGCATCTCAGTATGCGTTACTCATCATCTATTTTGGCAATTTCTGCCGCGACGCTCACTACAGCTTTACCACAATATCAACCATACCCGGGAGAACCCAAAGATGAGTCTCAGCAGCGAGCGAATGCCGTGAAAGAGGCATTCGAATTCAGCTGGCAGGGCTATTCTGAGTGAGCGGCACCTTGCGGAATATGTCCAGCTTCGAGCTAACCTGCGAACAGATACGCTTTCCCTAATGACGAGCTTCTACCAGTCACGAACGGTTTCAGTAATTCGAGAAACGGATGGGGCGCTTCCGCAGCAGATGCACTTTCGACCGCTTTGGTAATGGGAGAGAAGGAGATTGTGAACCAGATTTTGGACTATGTTCCGTCGATTGACTGGAGCGTGAGCGCCGACGACCAGGTCGTGTCGCTTTTCGAGACAACGATTCGCTACCTTGGAGGACTTCTCTCAGGATACGACTTGCTCAGTGGACCTTTGGCAGATTTGGCTGATAACAAGGACAATGTCGCGTCTCTGCTGGTGCAAGCACAGAACCTTGCAAACAACCTCAGTTTTGCGTTCGATACTCCTACTGGTATCCCGTACAACCAGATCTTCGTAGGCAACCGAACCAATGATGGCTCGGACACAAATGGACTGGCCACTATTGGAACCTTGATCCTCGAGTGGCAGCGCCTTTCAGATCTCACAGGCGACTCCACTTACGGGGACCTCGCCTCTCGTGCAGAAAGCTATCTGTTGAACCCATCACCTCCTCAGGCCGAGCCATTTCCTGGACTCGTTGGCTCTGAGATTGGCATCAACAATGGCTCCTTCACCAATGCTCGCGGAGCCTGGACTGGAGGCACCGACAGCTTCTACGAGTATCTCATCAAGATGTACGTCTATGACACGTCTCGATACGCCGAATACAGAGATCGCTGGATCCTGGCAGCAGATAGCAGCATTCAGTATCTTGCTTCGCACCCTTCATCCCGCCCGGATCTCACTTTCCTTGCCGACTACAATGGTCAAAGATTGATCAATGGAAGCCAGCATCTTGCTTGCTTTGACGGTGGTAACTTCATCTTGGGTGGACTTGTGCTCAACGACCAGAAATACACCGATTTCGGCCTTCAACTTGTAGAGGCCTGTGAGGAAACTTACAGCCAGACACTCACCGGTATCGGTCCCGAAGTCTTCTCTTGGAATACCACAACTCTCCCCGCGAACCAGACCGAATTCTACGAACGTGCTGGTTTCTGGATTGTCGCAGGGTCTTACGTTCTGCGACCTGAGGTTATCGAGAGCTTCTACTATGCTTACCGCGTGACTGGTAATCGCAAATACCAAGACTACGCATGGAATGCCTTCGTGGCCATCAACGAGACTTGCCGTGTCGGATCTGGCTTCAGCAGTATCTCGGATGTCAATGCACCAGGCGGTGGCAGCTTCGATAACTTCCAGGAGAGCTTCTGGTTTGCGGAAGTGCTCAAGTACAGTTACTTGATTCATGCTCCGGATGCAGAATATCAAGTTAATCACGAGGGGAAGAATGAGTATGTTTTCAACACGGAGGCGCATCCAGTCAAGGTAAGAGTGATGGTGCTCGAGCGTCTGGTATCTCATACGCTAACATCGTTCTCTAGGTCGCTGGGACACCAATATAAAGACACGATGTCGTGGAAGAACAGAACAAAGCTTTGGATATATACCAATCTAGTTTTAATGAACTTTTCAGCTCACTTCATACATGTCGGTGATGTTCGAGTGCCCAGCACGACTAACTCCAAATAGGCATGCGCCAAAACCCAGGTGGCGTATCATGTGCATAGAGAACCAAGCCTAGATTCAGCCATGGGCGTACAGAGCTGAGCGGGCTTCCCAAGGTATAAGGCCTCGGTCAGCCTCAGGTGGTGTCTCCCTCAGCATGCTCAGCATCATCACTGCACTTCACTGATGGAAGGTGTACAATGCAGACTGTTCGGCTACCACCTCCTCTCCCGCCTCGGCGTGTGCCCGTCGCCTCGAAGGCAGTCATCAGCATTGACTGGATGGAAACAGGTGTTGTCAGCGAAGATGACTCGACCAAAATCGTCGAGCTACCACCTCTACTGCCTGCTCGACCGATTGTTCCTACAGCCCAACTGGCGCAGGTCAGCATTTTCACCAGAGAGGTAGACATTGTCACAGAAGAGACGACGCATTCGGAGCCGTCAGCACCTGCACTCCCACCACGACCAATGACAATCACATCCAACTACGAACAACCTAGCATCGAAGACCTGGAAGAAGATGTAGAAGTCTCCTCGACCGTCACTCTCTTAGCAACCGAAGGAGAGAGCACAACCCAACAATCCCTCTACACCTCCTTACCATTCCAACCCACATCCCAAATCCGCATCCTCGAAATCCAACCTGGCCCTCTCAACTCCCCAATAATCTGCAACCTCGTCGTCCAAGACATCGACCTCACTACCCCACGCCGCCCTCCACCAACCATCCACGGCGACATGCTAGGCGACATGTTCAACTCCAAAGGCGTAATCGACTACTTCCGCCGCAACACCAGCAAAGACGACTTCATTCGCGACCTCCGCCCGTGGATGCCAAAATCCTATCGCGAACGTTATCAAGAAAAAGTCGTCGCTGCCCATGCAGCTGAATCAGCATTACCCGCTTTTAACGCTTTATCTTATACATGGGGAAGTTGGGATGATTCGACGAGTATTACGATCGTGAATTCTGAGAGCGGAGAAGAGGTGGAATTTCCAGTTACGAGGAATCTGTTCAACGCGTTGAGGAGGATTAGGAGAGAGCAAGAAGATGTGATTCGATTATGGGTCGATCAGATTTGTATTAATCAGCGGGATGAAGAGGAGAAAGCGTGGCAGGTGAGAGCCATGGGGAATATTTATAGTTTGGCGTGGGATGTGTTTATTTGGTTGGGGGATTTGGATGATGAGGATTTGGAGCCTTTGTGAGTCCTTTACTACTAATCTTGTTTCGCCAGGGTAGAGATTTCCATGCTGACACTCTCCCGTGTGTAGGAAGTCCAACTGTTCTGAAGGTCGGCGCCAAATCGCAGAACGCTTACTCGAAGTTATGGAACATGCCGAAGCGACCTGGTGGACTCGAACTTGGTGTATTCAAGAATTCATGATGGCACGTCAAGATCCGATTGCGCTCTTCGCCGACTGCCAAATCCGCTGGACTGAAGCGGTCAGTGCTGGCAAAAAAGTCAAAGAGGATCGCGAACTTCGTGCGTTTAAGCCTTCGAATCTGAAGAAGCATATCTGGAAAAACGATGACTCGAAGCCAGAACCTGAGCCAGATGAGAATGATCCTGTCGAGCTTGTCGGCGCGCCGTTCTTCAGCTTCCAGCGGATCAAGTACATGTCGAGTGGCGTACGCACACTTGCTTCGATGTATTGGGCATATTCGCAGACGGAGGCGACTGATCCTAGGGATAAGGTGTACAGTTTGCTGGCACTCATCGAACCAGCTGAGAGTGCTCTTGTTGAGATTGACTACAAGAAACCGGTGCCCTGGGTTTATGCTGAAGCAACATATGCTTCCATTCTCGCAAGTGGGAACATTCACATTCTGGGCTTGGTCAAGGGAGACAGATCCGATCTGGAGCTACCATCCTGGTGTGTGGATTTCAGCTATGCTGGCAAAGCGATCAACCAGAGCTGGATTGACACGGGTGATTTCAGTCAGTATCTATTTGCACCCGTGGATGCTTCCAGAGAGGCAAAGAAAAGTGCGGGTGAGAAGGGAGGGAATAATCAGGTCTTACCTTGGACGAATCGACTCCAATGTGCGACTGCCAAGGCTAGTTTGAGTGTTAGACGGCAATTGCTGGTGCTGAGAGGACTGGAATTTGACGTCGTCGTGAAGACAATCCATAAGAGGACGAGGAAGGTATACTGGGACAACTTGAAGACCAGCGCACTAGACCTGTTGAAAGCACCTCTAGGCCTGTTCTTTGATGGCCCAATCATGTTGACCAAGAATGAGCAGGCAGCCTTTCAGTCGGTGCTGGATCTTATGGAAGGAGCTGGGAGTCCTTATGAGAAGCTTGCTCGGAATGCAAGAGTAACAGAAAGCCTCGCATCCACACTCGGATCAGAAGAAGACTTGGACTCGACAACGAGCGAAGATGAAGAAAAAGTCTCCATGTTCTCTTTTCGCCTTTTCGATGTTTGGAGCCGCAGATTCCTGCGCGGACACGTCTCTGGACTTACGAAAGTGGCCTGGAGACGATATGGTCTGTGGAAGTTATACTTTCGACATCTCTGCCACGGGGATGCATTCTTCTTCACGAGCAATGGTTTCATCGGCCTTGGACACATTGACTGCCAGGTTGGGGATCGCATAATCTTGCTGTACGGTAGTCGACATCCTGTTCTGTTGCGGCCGGACAACGGGGCAAACCGGCACAAGTTCTTGGGCTTCTGTTTCGTTAATGGTATTATGGACGACGAGTTGAGGAAGCTGGCGCCTGATTTGGTCCTGGGCGAGAAGGAATTTGTGTTGAGGTGAGGTGAGCACTGAGGGCTTGCCTTGGCGCATGGAGACTCGGCGTCTCCGCACCACTCTTAGAACTGTGCAACCATTCTTGAGTTGACATAGATTCTAGGAGGTATCGATGCCGAGCAAAGCCGGTGTTCAGTCCGCTGGAGGGAACAGCCACCGACCTAGGCTCTGGATCTCGTCGCCTCGCATTACAGAAGCAGGATTTTGATGTTGTTGGATGGAACACGATGCTGCGGGCGTTGAGAGGAAATGCCTTCTTATTTAGTATGGTGTGGTGTGGCAAGGCGCATACAGTGCGTTGGTTGCTTCCGAGAAACAAAGCTGCCCAGCGTGGCACGGGCTTAAAATGCGCTGTCGTGTCGCGGCGTGCTATTTTGCCATTGAGTTTCCTTATTTTGCCATTGATCTCGAACCCTAAGACCCTAATACAAGTAATCAACACTCTAAATACTTCCCCGGACAAGCGAGGCGAGCTTGCGAGCGAAGTGAGTACTCGGAGCAGCGAGGTACGAGCACAGCGACGACGTACGATACCCGAGCG